ATTATAAATGTGATTTTTTACATAGAATTAAATTATTCTAATTATTTAATAATATACTGTTACCAGATACATAGTTACCAGAATTTGTATTTTAACATAGGAAAATTATATTTAACATTTTTAGCATTTGAAAATTTTATTTAATATTTAAGTATGTTTAAACTATTAGATAGCAGATCTTGCGTATATCGTAATTATTGCTTCACTGGGAAAAAAAAGTATGGTCAAAACTACTGGAATATGGTGAAATTTACCATGCATCTGGCTCCATGGGAACACCTAAAAGCTCAGTAATATTTACGGAAGCATTTTGGTAATTATTTTGATTAAAAAAAATATTGTTTTATAATAGGTGATAAAATTTGGCAAATGATTCAAAATTTTATTATTTAATTATGATACCTTAGAGCATGGCATAAAAATCCTTTATTTGGTTTAATTTACTTTTCAGTTTTATAATTTTCACTAAATGTGTGGAAATAAAAATTATAATTTTGAAAAACAAGAATTTTCGGTAATCCGTTATCCTGTAAATGTAAATTTTACCGGATAATTTATGCAAATGATTGGTTTAAATACCATATATTTTGGATTTATTAACCAGAAATATGATTTTTTGTTACTAAAAATGCCGTTACCATACAGTGCGATAATTTTACCAGAATTTTTTTCTCCGTGTAGTTTTACTATGTTTGGATAGTAAAAACAGATATTGAAACTTGTATAAGTACTGTAACATTTTTAATAATTTCAATTCTTTATTTTAGACTTAGAATTAACTTTTTAAAGAGTCATAATTTCTAAATCTATCAAATATATTTCACTCTTTCAAAAGTTCTGCTTACTTACCAAATTAAATGTATTCCTGATTTCAATTTCATGCTACTTCTGTAAATACTATTTCCGAATAAAATAATAACATATATTCATGAAAAAACCTTATTGTACTGAAACATACCAACTTGTCAAATTGTATTTAATGATTATAATTATATTAACAAAACATTTTTGTTACTGTTCGTAAGAGCATTTGAATAAAATCATTCAAAAGGAAGAAATAAATCAAAACTTAAGTTGAAAGATGTCGCTACGTTACTGACAAATTTGTTTGTCATGTTTCATAAGTACACCTGCAGATATGAAAACAATCAAATGGAAAAGTGAATGTTTTTACAACGTCATTCGCGACTGTTTGAATAAAATAATGAGAAATCTTTTTAAACATCGATATCGAATGATATATTACTGCAATTTAAGGTTAAATAAATTTAATTTTTCATTTCGTTACTTTTAAAAGTACAGTAATTTATAAATATCCTAATACTTACTAATTTGTTTACTACTTGGTGTAACCATTTAAGGAACAGATTATCAAAGAAATCGGATGCTTCAATTNTTTTTTTTTTTTTTTTTTTTTTTTTTTTTTTTTTTTTTTTTTTTTTTTTTTTTTTTTGTAAAAGAGATTTCAAATTTTATTTTATAACCATCGTTGAACAGCCAGCTCAATTTTGAGTTTACGACTAGCAATATTCAACTCTGTAGCCTTGTAGTTTAAAACCCAAATCAGAAGATTGATACTTGGTATATTTGTTACTTTAATTTTAGTACTTTTCGGTTACTCGGGCGCAAACAAAAAGTTGCCTAAAAATGTAGACCTCCACCAGCTTTTTTTTCTTCTTTTTTTTTTTAAACAAATTATTAAGTAAAATTGAAAAATAAATAAAGGAAATTTTAAAAAAATTAAAGATAGTTAAATATTCTTCTGCTTGGCTAACCGAAAAGTAACATAATTTTTATCTATATATTTATTTCTCTTACGCGGTATTTCTCTGCCTAAATTGGCAGCACAATAGTCATCTATAATAATAATTTTATTTTTTTAGGTTGTCTTAAGTAATAATTTAAGTGATGTTAAAAAATCAATTATACATTGAGTATTATTCAGTTTCATTTTGTCTTTCATTAGGTAGTCTTACGTGATGGTTTAAGTAGTTTTTAACAGTCAGTTAAATATTACTGATACGTTAAGTAATTATTTAGAATAGTTTTGTATTTTTATAGATATGAAAACTTAGTTACAAACATTGCTGAATTCTACCGTCGAACTATGAAAAGTTTAATTTTTGCCACGCGAGAAATTGACGAGATTTCTATGACAATCAACAAAAACCAAGGGCAAACTGTTGAAAATATTGTTCTAAATTTGACACAAGCTATGTTTAGGGACATTCCAAAGGGAGGTCTTTTGAGTCGGTGACCACATTGTCACTAATATAAGGAACAGATTAACATTTAGCAGTGCGCTTAGTAATGGTGATTCCACATATATATTTTTGTTCTCATGTATATATTTCAACCCCTAATTTCATTATCCAATTGAAATTGAAATATTGCCTACATATTTTTCACACGTTGAATATTTTACTTTATTTAATACTTTATAACCGTTGTTGAACAACCGACCCAAGTTTGTGCTTACAAATACTACTGAGGATATTTTTAGTCAGCACTGTTATCTGCGTGAGCCAGGTGCGGAATTCGTATCGACCAGCCATCACTGGGATTTGAACCTGGGTGATCACATTGGAAGATGAACGCTCTATCCCCTGGGCCACCACGGCTCATGTTAGAATATTTAAATACAGTGAACCAAGTGGGTGACCAAAGGCGGCTAGTAGTTTTAAATTCTGTGATACTTGAAATCCTCGTGTATATTTCACACACAAAAAAAAATGATTTAATTTTTGATAAATTGTATGCTTGTGTTTAAGTGCATCCTGCAAACATTAAATGTGGAATTCAAAAAAGAATATTTGATTAAAAGTAGAGTGGTTTATTTTAACTGTAAAGTTTTTCTCTCCAAAATAAATCAAAACCTTGAATTAAATTCTGTGAAAGCTTTTAAAAAACTTAATCTCTTCCGATAAAAAAAATTAGCTTTCTTTTTTTTAGATAGTTGAAATATAATATTCATAAAAGTTAAAAAAAGATGAAGAAAAGCGTAAAATGCATAATTATCGCTACTTATACTGTCAGTTCAGAGTGTTAAGTTATTTTTAAGATTTCAAGAAGTAATGGAAGAGAGACCAGCATATTTTTCCATTAAATAAAATAAATTTAAAATTATTTTTTATTAAATATAATTAATATAATTAAATATAATTAAGATAGTTAAATATTTATAAAATTTATGAAGTCAATTTTTCAACTGAAGAAAGAAATATTTATATATTTTTTAAATATTACTATGATCATAAAAAAAGAAATAGTAACTAACATCAACAAAAATAATTAACAACAAAATGCTCTAATCATTTGAAATAAGTTCAGAAGATCTCCTCAAGAATTTCTTAAAATACGATAAACTAAAATCTAGGGCATAAATTTTTAAATATTGCATAGAAACAAGGAAGCTCCACCCCCTGTTCGTACCGCTCACCAAAACCCGTTATTGCTTCTTACTTATCATTGTTTTGTTTTTTTTAAGAAAGTCGATACTACCCACAAAAATATTTTTTATATAAATACGTAAGTAAAGTAAAGCATTTCCACAACAGCCCGTTGTAAGCCAGGTGATCATGGTGGTTATATCTCCACAATTTCATCACCAACGGCCTGATTATGACAATGTAGCCAGCACTGGGCGTAGAGGCCGCCTTCATTTTCCAGATCAGCTGATACCTATCGACCTGCTGAGTGTACTTCAAGCCACCATTAGGCATCGAACCCCAGGGTTTACGAATGACAGTTCAGTACCTTAACCACTGAGCTATTGCGGCTCAATAAGTACCTTACTATTATAATTTTGTGTAGGAAGATTTTGTTAATATGTGTTAATTGTAACGGAATGAATGATTATCTGGACTTGAAAATAATCATATGTATTTGAAAAAAATTAAAAATTTAGGTATACAGATTATGCGACTTTATAAGAAGAAATAAGTGAAAAAATAATTTTACTCGTGAACAAGACATATTATAACAGTTCAAATAAGAAACGATGCTTCTTCATTTAGTCAATATTAGATTTTTATTATGATTTTGTTAACTTGTTTTCGTGTAAAGGGGGGGGGATCATACTGTCAAAATTTCGAACACATTCCGACAAATTAGAGCATTTAAATCTTTACTAGAGCTCCAAGCCTTGACTACAGTGCGAGTTTCCATCATTTTTAATTCATCCTTACTTCCTAAGTAATCTAAAGTTGATGTAAAATTTATCGTCATTTTATCAGAAAATAGAATTTATGGTCAATAAAATTCCAATAGCATTTTGACTAACTAGTGAGCTTAAATCTTTACTTGAACCCAATCTCTTATAACAATAAGCATTTGAATAGCTTTCTCATTACTGCAAAATTTGTCGCCAAAGTGAATTCGTAAATCAAAATTTTGACTCACCACCTTTAAAAATCAAATAGGCTTAAATAAAAGAAAGTAAAAAATTTTAAAAATTACGTTTATCTGGTTAACCAAAAGGAGAAAAAAATTTCAGACTAAACAGAAAATGTATGTGCATCACTTTGTTTTAAATTTCTATCCCCATCGAAAATTCCCCAAAATTCCTTCGAAAGTGATGGGTTAATTTAAGTTTTAGATCTAAGAAAAATGAGATTATTTTCACTTTTTTAGTCAACTTAAAAAATCAATTTTTTAATTTTTTTTTTCATAAAATTAACAGATTCTGTCTCAGACGCAATTAAAAACAAGTTTACAGTAGAAATCTACAATCAAAGATATTTAAGATACTCTATTTTTAAATATTTTAGTATTTCATAGTTGTTATCTTATTTGTATTGAAGGCTTTCTAAAATAAAACAAGTTTAATTATTATGTGATGAACTAACTCATAAATTCCAATTTCTAATTAAAGTTACTGATTCAGATAGTTTAATTTACAAACTAATTCTTATTACCATTAAGCTTGCTATACCGAGTTTTGACATTTATACATTTTAAGAAAGAAATTCATTCTAAACAATATATACAGATTTCCTTACCAATGATTGTGCTTCCTATTCAATTTAATGCAAGTATACTTTTGCAAAATATGATGAGTTATTTTCGATCAATTAACTTCTTATCTGGTTTGAGCAGCCCTATTCTCCCACGATTTCATTTACAGATGTTCATTTTCTGAAATAAATCTTATGTAATTAACAAGATTTTTTTTTTCTAATACTTTTCAGATGTATTGATTCTGAATCTAGAAACACTAATTCATATTTATTTATCTGACTAATCACCTATAAAAAAAATCAAAAATTCAGACACTCAAGGGGCCCTTGCGAATCTTAATTTTTATAAATTGTATTCTAAGAATAAACAACATTGCCTTATATATCTTTTAAAATAAATAATAAAGTGTGCATTTGTTTTTCTACAAATAGTGATTGATTATCATGCAAACACCAATAATTTGAATAGTTTATCAACAAGAAAACTTAAAAAAGTCAATTGAAATCTATTTTTCTACGTTCCAATGAAAATTTCAGGTACTTGGGCATTGAAAGATGTTTTAATAACTGTTTAATTTGACAAAATAATTCATACCTTTTGAACTTATTTTAATTTGTTATACCCTTATGTTTATTTAATTTAATGTAATTTAATTATTTTAATTAACTTCCATATTTTTCAAATTATTTTATTGTTTGAAGATTTCAACTGGTTAGCATATAAAAAAAAATTTTCAACTTATACATAAACTGCTGTTTGTAGAAAATGCAACACCATGAAAGAATCATCAGAATCAAATGAAATTTAATGCAGAAACGACTTGTACTGATACAAATAAATGATGAAATTTTCAAAACAAAAGAAACAAATTAAGCGTCCGAAATCAGTATTTGGTGCAGCCACCACGCGCTGCAATAAGTGCTGCTATACGACGTGGCATGGAGTCAAACAGATGTTGAATATCTGCTTGAGGAAGAGAATTCCATATCGCTTGTATGCGCAACCAAAGTTCGTCTTTGGAAACTGCAGGACGCGGATCACGAGTGAGACGCCGACCAACCATATCCCACACGTGCTCAATAGGCGACATATCCGGCGAATAAGCAGGCCAAGGAAGAAGTTGCATGCGTTGTGCTGAACAGAAGTCTCTAACAGTCCGCGCAACATGTGGGCGTGCATTATCCTGCTGAAAGATAGCTCCAGGGATGCCTTGAAGGAAAGGAACGACTTCGGGCTGTAGCACTTCACGGACGTATCTGTTGCTATTGAGATTACCCTCAATTCGTATCAAATTGGATCGTCCATGATACGAAATCGCACCCCAGACCATAACTCCGGGTGTTCGACCACTATGTCGTTCAATAATACACTCAGGAAGGCAGCGTTGACCGGCATAACGTCTAACACGAACACGGCCATCATGGGTCCACAAATTGAAGCGTGATTCATCTGAAAAGACAACTTGGTGCCAATCAGCTCGCCAGTCTCTGTGCTCAAGAGCCCACTGCCGACGCAGCCGTCGATGATCCGCCGTGAGGGGAATCCTGTATAATGGCACCCTTGCACGCAATCCACGGCGCAGCAGACGACGACGAATTGACGAAGCCGACAATTGTACACCTGTAGCAGTAGACCAATGTGCTGCCAGCTGCCTGGAGGAAGCTGTGCGATCATTCACCGCCATGCGGAGCAGGTGTCGATCATCGCGCTCTGACGTCACCTTCTGTCGTCCAGTGCCTGTTTTTCGAGTTGTTCGGTGCTCGTCGGTCCACTGCTTCCAAACTCGCATCACTGTGGAACTGTTCCGCTGCATACGAGCTGCTATTGCGCGATAGGAAAATCCTCCTTCTCGAAGGCCGATTATCCTCCCTCGTTCAAACTCCGTAAGTTGCTTGAATTTCTTATTCTTCCGTCGTGGAGGCATACTCAGGTCTCACTAAACGTTTGCCACTAACAAATAATCATAGACTATTTTCAACGTCCCGCTACAGCACTTTATTTATACGCTTTCAGCATCAATTCAGAGGGCGCTGCGCGCGCCACGCACGCGCGATGGCTCTGAAACTTTATTAATTTGCATAATATCCTATATCCATTATTAAAATAATATTTCATTTGATTCTGATGATTCCTTCATGGTGTTGCATTTTCTACAAACAGCAGTTTAGTTTAAAAATGCTTTTTTTGAGTTTTTGGGGTAATCAAAATGTGCTTAAATTTGTTAAAATTATTGCAACATATCTTAAAAATGATTTATTTTTTTCCTTTTAAGGTTTTTAGTTCGTTTTTAAACATTATGATATGTCATAGGAGTCTAAAATATTTTTGTGCCAGGGGGCCCTGCATGCTATAAAGACGGCCCTGCCATGCTGCCTTTCCCATAATTATTAGTATTTTTAGTGCATATAGCATAAATAAAAGTTATATATTATAAAATAATATAATAGAATTAAATTCCTGCAATGGTCAATTATTCCGCCCAAACTTCTCCGAGGCTCCACATAGTCGTGCACTTGCACGAATTCATTTTTTCGAGGCACAAAAGGCGAATCGGTTATGTTGATTCAAACACATTGTGATACATAATTCATGGGAGCATGTTATTAAGGCTAATTCCCCCTAATAATCCCAATAGTTACACGAAATAAGGCTTTGTTGGTTTTTGTATTTGTCTCATTAAAAGCACATGGTCTAAATTTAGAACTCTTATCTTGGTTGAAACAGATTATTTAACATCTCTGTCAATTTTGAACGGATAAACCCAAGTCACCCCGATAATTACAAATATCAAAACAAAAATTTCAACCATTTTCATTTTCCAAGCTCTTTTAAGCCAAACATTATTCCATTCATAGAGTTAGCAAAGTCATGAGCATTATTCAAATATATTTAAGCCAACAAAAATATGCATTATGCTTGCAAGTTTTTCTAATTAGACTAGTCCCACAGTGGACTCATCGTAAGGACACAGTTGCCAGTAGAACACCAAAATCAAGCATCACTGGCTGCAGGAAATAAGCGGTTGGGTGACCGCTTTGATCAGCCTAAATAGGGACTGATGGTGTGAGGTATCCGTCCTCGTTAAAGTGTTCTACCGTAAAGTGCTCGATTTCACGCGCATGTGTACGGGTTACCAAAGCAGGGGAGCCATCCCCTCTGCAGAGGATCAAAATTGTGATGGCAAGTTGGATCATCCTCGGGGATGTTTCCCACACCGTCACCAATAGCCCATTGTGCAGCTCTAGTGCGACGTTAATAAAATACCTACCTACCTAATTAGGCTAATTTCCCCCTAATTTGCCCGACAAATCACAATAATTACAAATATCGTTAATTTCTCTATTGATCTCATAAAAGAAAGCATGATTTAAATTTGAGACTTACATGTTAACAAAAACGTCTTAGTTTGCATTGCTGACAATTTTTAACTAATTTTACCCCGTTTATTAAAAAATATCAAAATAAAACTTTAACCAAGAAATTCAATATTTGATAACTTTTATAGTGTTCGCTTCAAAATCGGTGGATTTTCAAACAAATTAGTTTTGAAAAAGGATGACTTAAATGCTTAATCTCTGAAAGTTAACTTTCATCCCTTATTTGTTTCTTTGGAAGTTAATTTTCCAAAAAACGTTAAAGCAAGTATTTCTTTATTTCTAACCAACATTCTAAATACCAGTTTTCATAGTGCTTGCTTCAAAATCGGGGAATTTTCAAACAAACTTTCAATTCCTATTTAATCCTCTTAGAAATGAAATTTTAAAAAAAAATTATGAAAATAAAATAAAATTAGTTGAATTTGCCTGTTATATAACAAAATGGGGAAAAGAAAAAAAAAACAACGTTTGTTCATGTGTAGGTAGTTCGAGTTGCCTTCATTTTATTGACAAACACTTTCTTCCTTGACAAATTTTTCTTCAAAATGATCGTTTCATCAACATAATTGTTCCATCGACTTCTTCGTTTAATTGACTAAATTATTTCATCACTGTCAACAGTGTCATATAGTTAATAGGATCATCTCGTAGAAAAGGTGATTTTATCTACAATATGATTATTAAAAATTCGGTTTTTAAATGTATGGAACTAAGTAGACGCTCTTCTTTAGCGTTATAATACATAATGAAGCATTCTCACAGCATGCAGTTCGCATATGCCCATCGTACGTCGATGTGATTAACGCATACGTGAGAAGTTTAGGGGAATCGCTCATGCAATGTGAATGCTACCTTTGTAGTTTTCCATTTGCTTCACACATATGCCAAATTTCGTTAAGGACGTATGGTTATTTGATGTCATCAGGGGGACAATTTTTAAATTCTTTTTACAATTTGCATTACGTTATTCATTTGAAACTGGTTTCAAACTTAAGAATAAGTGTCATATATTTCAGAAATACCCATATGTAAAATATATTTTGAGACCAGTAGAAATTCTATTTAGCTATTCGTTTTTAAGGTTACAACATAAAGTTATTGCTTCGCAACTCTAAAAGCTTTCGTAATTTTTTTTTAATAAAGTCTGATTATTTGGTATCATCCTTGTGACGCATTTTAATAATTTTGTTGGATCGCGGAAATCGTTTTTAACCTAATTCAATTAAATAAAAAAGTGTCATATTTTTAAAATTAAGCTTATATATTTAGATGTAATATTTTTTATGCATGTTTTATTTGAAAATTGACTTCAATGAAATCAAAAATCGAATAGCACTAACATAATTTTTTCTGAATTATGATTTATGAACCAGCTTTGTTGTTGTTTTTTCATCATTTATTAATAAAAACATGTATGTTTTAATAAAAACATGTAACTAAAATAAAAACATGTTAAAAACATGTTACATTAAATAAAAACATGTTATGTTTTTTAGCGAGATAATAAATACATAATTTTAATCCCAAAAATTTAAAGAATTAGTTAGTAGTTGTTACCGTATGTTGTGACGAAAAAACTAATTTAAATTTATTAAAACTAAACAGAAACTTTTACGGGTTTCGGTTTTTTAGTTTTCGATTGATTGTTCTTTCATTTTGGCAACACCAAAATTTTCACTGTAACTTTCACTTCTACTTATAACTTTCTTAATGTTTATTTACATTTCTTGATCTTTTTAATGATTCCGGCAATTTTGAGGTAATGCAACATTAATTTACTCTGGTAGCTTAAAAAAAAAACAAGAAATAAATAAAAATTCCTTAAGTTACCTACTTATTACACGTTAAACGTTTAAATAAACTATTATTCGCATTAAAATTCATTTGAGAATCTAATAACATTCTAGTTTCTCAAATTATTATTAATTAATAAGGAATTATCATTTAGTATTTGTAAATATATAAAATATTTTTAAACTATTTATTTCGATAGATAGGCTTGAAAAATTTACTTTGATATTATTGATTGTAACTGATGAATAAATTGTACGTAACCTCAAAGGAAAGTAATTTGTTCATTCAAAAACCGAATGTAAACAGTCAAATTTATTTATGTTTCTAAAATATTCTATTGCATACTTATTAAACTTTTACATGGCCTTTTTCGTTCTAATTTCTATATCAATTTCCGAAATTTAATGCCCACGAATTTAACTCAATATGCTTAAGTTATTACTTAAACAAAACTCTAGAACAATAAAGGTTCATATTAAAAAAATGGTTCTTTTATTTCTTCTTAATGCTGCTGTTTTATACTAATGTAAGTTATGTTTGTTTTTCTCATTACACTTTGGTCTATTTTAGAATAAAATAGCCTATCCTAACTTGAATCTTCAGAAATTCATTTCAACATTTCTTTATATTGCACTTAACTACTGTTTAGTAAACTTTTATTTTACAAACATTTCTGTGTTTTAAAATAAGGGTTAAACTATGCAACAAAAAGTTCAATGGTTAAAATTCAATACAGTTTAAAGGACATTTTGAACAGTAATTCAAATTTATATTTTGATGTAAGCCAAATATAGTACTTAGTATTAAAATTTAATCATCTTTCATGTCATAATTGAATGAAGAATTTAATACTGATTACACACAACACCATAACTGTCAAATTAATTATGCATTGTACAAATTATTGATAAGTGTGATGATCTCAGATCAATCACTGTCAATATCAGATGTAATTACATTTATCCCCAGACACTCAGTATCATAAGGAAAAGTATGGCATATGCCCTTAGATCATCTTTCATGGAAAAACTGATCCTCCAACATTTTGCAAATATTTTGCACTGAAATAGACAAAAAAACATCAAAATAAAAACTATAAAAATTTTACTCATTGAATAACTATTAATTCTTTATTAGTAATTCAATGAGTGATTTGCTAAATAATTTAATTCATTCAGTTGCTAAGTCATTCAAGGAATTGAATGGTCACGCAATAAATAAATTAATTAAAACTTTTACAACACTTTTACGTATACTTGTACTTACATGTAATTTGATTTATTTTTTTTTCCAAAAAAGATTTAGATATTAGGTAAACTCTCTGAGCCCTAAAATCAGTATTTTATCTAGAAGACCAGGATTGTTATAATTTTTCAAACCAGAAAATACCCAAGCAGATTTTTTTCATAATTCCATTTTATTATTAACAAATCAACTCTAAATTTATGATAGAAATTCCATACATTGATATATTTATATTTCCATTACTTCTATATTATATTGTGCTTTAAAATTTTTAATTAACCCAAAATACCTATAAATAGAAATTGCAAATAATGCAATAAGGTGTTCTCTCAAAAATTTAAGTTAATAATTCACAATATAATTGAAACTCTTTTTATATAGATACAATATATAATATCTTATATACTATTTTTCTAGACCAGCTAGTCTTATATACACTTTTAAATATTTTTTTAATGTAGTTGAATTAACACAAAGTAAATTAATAAATGGTTATTAATTTAATTCATGGTTATTCAACTTGACTTACTCTAAGACTAAAAAAAGGATGAAGATAACCCTATTAACTTTGAAAAAATAAAACAATAAATCTTGAAAAAAAAAACTGAAAAACATTCTAAACCCTGCAAAAGCTCAAAAAACTCAGTGACTTGTGTTTTATTCTAAAAAATCAAAAACAAAACTGGGTTTTTTAAATCCTGTCCAGGACACCAACTTTTCTTAAAATCAGGCACTGATAATTTTCAATGTTGTTTGTAATAATATTTTATACACACATTAAACTGAGTTTAAACTTTTTTTTAGGGAAGGGAAAGAAATAGCTCCAATGCAACCAACTATTATTGATCCAGTTACCCATTATGTTTGTCTTGAAGGATCGGCTAATGCACTGGCTACTAATAAAGAAGCTAGTCAAGTTGTGGTGGCTGGAAGAAATGGTAAAGTTCAAATAATTTTTTATTTTGTTTATTTACAAATCTAATGTATAGTTTTAACCATGAAAGTTTCTTCCACAGTGAGAAAAACCATAGCTTCAGACAAAATAAATTTTTTCCTACCAGAGTAAATGAAGCACTTTTTTAAAAAGAAATATCAAATATTGAAATACGGTTTTAAACAGTTTATGATTGTCATCTAGTTTAAATAATTTGTATCAGTTTTCTTAATGCAGTATTAAGTAAGTTGAAGCTAAAAAGCAAAAAATTGGTAATAAAAATAAATTTACTGTATTTTGTAAAGAATTAAAACGATTGTAGAGTTTTTCAATATTTTATGTAAAATAGTATCAGAAAATCTAATTTTATAATTATACCATGAAATGTTAAAATATCATAATCAAATTTTGATAAATACAATTATATTTGCAAATAACATGCTAAATATATACAGTACTATGTGTTGCATTTTGAATTCTAAATTACTGAAGTAAACTAATTTTTTTTATCAAATGCTGTTAAATATGAGTACTCAAACTGAAATATGATTTATAGATCTAAATAATTTTATGATTTTAAGATTCTGTACAAAATTGAAATAGTATGAAAATATATATATATATATATATATATATTTTTAAGTAGATCTAAATCTTTTATATTTCTAGTACTATATTAAATATAATTTATTCAAATTTTAACTATTCTTATTACTAAACAATTATATTGGTCATTTTTAGTTTCTTCCTGACAAAATACCGACTTTGACTTTGTCGTATTTAAAAAATGTCCCATATTGTCTACAATTAAATAACTAACCTGTTATGAAATTCGCACAGACAAATTTGATAAATAATAACTTATGACTATAAGTGTTACTACAAGAAATAGCACTATATTATAAAATGACTTACTCTAAAACTGTAATTGATGTAATTAAATTTATTTTTTATGCATTTAAGTATAAAGTATTGCAGTAGTATAACTTATGATTATAAGTGTTACTACAAGAAATAGCACTATATTATAAAATGACTTACTCTAAAACTGTAATTGATGTAATTAAATTTATTTTTTTATGCATTTAAGTATAAAGTATTGCAGTAGTATAACTTATGATAAGTGTTACTACAAGAAATAGCACTATATTATAAGATTACTGACTCATACTGTAATCGATGTAATTAAATTTATTTTTTTTATGTATTTAAGTATAAAATATTGCAGTAGTAAAAGGTTAGCTCAGCTGCTATAATATTAGGAAAAAAATATGTTGCAATCACTGTATTAAGCTAGAAGAATAATCTCATGTTTTACATATCTGTATATATAAAACACAAGATTTTTCTTCTAGCTTAATATAGTATAGTTATGTCATATATTATATTAATTATTTTTAGGCTTTCTATATAAATAAACTATAACTTTTTTGTCTTGCATGATTATGAAGTTTTATTTGTCATCTGGTTGTTTTATAGTTTTTAAAATCTTCAATGTGGAAGCTAATAAGTTTGTGGAAAAGTTGAACCTTCGAATCGGGAAGAATGTTGATCTAAGTTACAGCTGTGCGGATGTTGTCTGGAATCCAGTTGATAGTAATAATATTTTTATGGAATTTTATTAATTATTTTATGTATCTTTGAATAATTTTTATTATTTAAGTAAAAATGAAGTTTGCTAGTCATTGTTCTACCAATGCATTTAGTTTCCATGTATATTTGTTGGGTTTACAGCACGAAAGTGACCAAGTCAATAAGTTCACAAAGATGAGATAATGGTCTTAAGTCATGTAAGGATGTAAAAAAAGCCTGAAACAATATACATAGCTTTATAGACAGTAGACCCTCCCTATGCACATTGAATTGGGCCTAAAGTAAAGATTTGTTCTAATAACTTATGCTGAATATCTCATTTTTTGTAAAATTTTTGTGCTCTTTAACATTGTTTGCCTTAGTTTTGTATTTTAGCACAAAGGTCGCCCACTTGTGTATTTAAATCTTGGAAGTCTTTCATTTTGCCTTAGTTTTGTATTTTAGCACAAAGGTCGCCCACTTGTGTATTTAAATCTTGGAAGTCTTTCATATATTAGTTTGCTTTCTAGATAATGCTTAATTTAAACTTGTTTATCATTTGATGTATATATTAGATGTAATATTATTACTTTTAGATTAAATTTCTCTCTGTCTTACTTGTCATCAGTTTCCTCGTTGTTGAAATATTAGGATTTAACTAACAAACTATCTATTTTTCTGATATCAGTTCTGTTTAACTACATCTTAATTATTTTATTTACATTTTGACTTAGATTTTCTTTAATTCATGAAAAATGAATATAAAAATAAATAATTATTAATCCCAGTTCATATATTGATTCTATAACTCATTGGTACTTCTAAAACTATTCAATTTTGGGTACTGAATATCTCTCCTAAAAATATAACCTTTTTTAATTAATTGCATTTAATTTTTCATCTAATTAACTCTTTAAATTATATTTGGTTTATAAAATCATTATTTTGATAATTGTTTATTCAAAATGATACCAAAATTGAACTTTTTCCAGTATTAGGATTTGTACTTATCTTGATAAAATGTACGATTTTTTAAAATTTCCATTTTCTCTGTTAACTCTTTTGTAAAATTTAATTTATCATTAGAATTTCTAAAGCTTATATATGAGTACCAAACAGTCACCTTATTTATTCAGCTACATCTTAAAAATCTGCACCTATAAATAGGCAGTAGTCTTTTGCTATGCAGTATTTTCGATATCAACATCCCACTCAAATAATCTTTTAAGGTTTTCTAATCTATGTTTGAAGCTGAAGCTTTGTTTTTTGAAGAAAAAAAATTATGTTTGGGTTTTTATTTCCAAAATTATCTGCTTTTGTCCTCTAATTCCTACTTTTTCTTTTATTTCTGTACAGTTAATTATAATGCATACTATGTTGGTTCTAAAACATACTTTTTAAGCATATACAATCAACAGGTTCATTATAAAAACTTAGAGACTGAGGCAATTGGCTCCTTAAACATAAGTTGGCCTAAATCATTAAACATAGAGGCTGTTATATGCAAAACTAAACCTACAAATGGGGGCTGTTTATTGTTTTTATTTGCGCTGAAGATAAAATTCTCTGACCTTTGTTTTGTACTCTTTTTTTTGTCATCAGTTAGACATACAACACTCATTGACTTTATTCAAATATCACCCTTATTATGTATAAATATATCACCCTTATTATGTATCAATATATCACCCTTATTATCTATAATATTATCATAGTAATTAGTGATAAGATCTACTTAAAACTAAAAGGGATTTTTAATTACTTTTAAAAGGAAAGATATTACAAACAACCATTATGCTTTTTTTCTGGCTACTTAAATTTACAGAACTTTATTTTAAAAAATCACTCGTTAAATCTTCGTTATGCTCATAATATAGTTTAATAAGCATTCAACTGTTTATTAAACATTTCCTCATTACTGCTAAGATCTTGTTTAAATAGGGTATGTGATAAACGAGTCTACAACAAAAATTTTATCTCTTTCATTTTTTAGAAAAATATTTTTCTTTCTTGTTTTATAGATGCTGTTCTTGCTACTGCTGCTACTAATGGCTCTGTTGTTACTTGGAACTTGAATTCTCTTCAGAAACAAGGTAATTGGGAGAGAGAAAAATCTATATACCTGCAAATTTTATTCTTTTTACATTTCAGATATTTTATTCTAGTCCTACAAATAAAGCTAGATGTATATGACTTGAGTATTTACATTAAAAAGTATAAACTGAAAAACTTCTGTTGATATATATTATTATTACAGACTCATTATTATTACAGACACAGACTGCTTTAACAGACTCATATTATATCATGACACTTACAAGTAATTAAAAAAACCTTTACATTTTAATAGATTTGTCTTTGTCAAATTTATCTCATGTTATGATCAATGAAGCCCTTTAACCTGGGTTTTAAAAAAAAATCAGAATTTTTAAAGAAAATAAATATCAAAGAAAGTATTTTTAATTAAAATCAGATTTCCGTTGTTAAAGTTTAATTTTCTCTAAATGAACTTGTGTTTAGTAAAATGATTAATTTTTAAAGTTAATAAATTTTTATAAGATTACTATAATATTGTAAGAGACATATGTAAATTTATTTAATTTTTTAACTGAAACTGACCCTCTTTTAACAAAATGAAGAAAATAAATTTTCAATTCTTTTGGCTTTGTTACATTCCATTCTATTAAAGATTATATGAACTGTACACAAAGAAAAATGGGTGCATAATATAATATCAAAAAATCATTGTTCTAAATTCACAATATTAGTAACAGTTAAACTCTAAAATATAAAATTTTTATGCATGCATTAAAAAAAATCACCTTTACCTACTCATTTTAACAATAAATACAAAATATGTCTTTTTTTTTTTTTTGTCAGCATGTATGAAAACGTTTTATAAATTTGCTGATAATATATATGTGTGCGTGTGCGTGCGTGTGTATCACAATAAAGACAGAAAGGATAAATTATATTTTTTATGTAAAAATCAAGTGTTAAAATCATTCTTTGTGAAAGAGGTTGGAGACAAATTTAAAGGCCGAATGTTAAAATCTCTGTTTCATTTATATTTGTTTCAATCCAACAACTACCTATCTTTTTTGCCATAACCTTTTTCTTACCAACTCATATTTTTTATTGAGAATTTTGCAAATATTCGGTTTTAAGTTATGACAAATCTTAGCTACACAATCAAACCTTTATATGTACTTAAACATGCCTCCTATTTTAATGAACCATTTTTGATTTCCAATTTATTTAACATTCTGGTAAATATGTCCTTGATCCTAAGCACCTTATTCCTTCAACTGGTTTATTTATTCATGATTATGTTTTAACCTGTATTAATTGTGTTTAGATCATGAAAATTTGTGTGGAAAAAAAATTAAGATTGATACAAAATCACTTAGCTTTTAAGAAGCCAAATGAAAAGATCTTATGTTGTTTGCTCTTCACTTCTGATTTAAACACATGTTTATTTATTTATTTTAAATTATGAAACTTCCTAATTTAAATAGAATGTTTGAAAGTAATAATGCTATTAATCTTTATTTGTATTTATTTGCAGATATGAAGTTCCAAGATCATAAAAGGACAGTAAATAAAGTTTGTTTTCATACAACTGAGGCTCAACTACTTTTAAGCGGTTCACAAGATGGCACCATGAAGTTGTTTGATTTGAGGAAAAAAGAAGTATCCAGCACTTTCTATAGGTATCCTACATATTTCTAAATCACTTTCTACAGAACCTAACCCTAGTTTACTAAATTTAAGTTAGCACTGTGTAACTTACGTGTGCACAAACAGAGTCCCCAACAAAATAAGCTCTAATTTAATGATAAATTTAAAAATTAAAGCTATAAATAATTTATCTACAGTGCGGGGAAAAAATTAACTTTTGAACTAATGATCGGCTCTAGGACTCAATCTTAATGGTTCGAGGGATAAGTTATGAGAAATTGAATATTTGAAAAAAGTCATTTAAAATTCAATTTCTCAGGAATTATTCTAGCAATTTTGGCCAAAATTTGTATTTTGCCATTTAAAATTAAGCAAACAATTGTATAAATTACGATTCAATTTTTTTCGATTATTATTTAATAAAAATAATAAATATTTACTAATATTTATTTTTTGCGTGCAAGTATGTTAGGACAAACAAGTTTTATAATTGTGTGCAAAAATCTTTCAATTTGCTAAAAAAAGTTCTCAAGATATAGAGAAATACGCAAAAAAGTTAAATTTACATTAAGGGGTCTAAACTATTGGGACCTTGTTTCCCAGATTGGGGCTACCCCATATATTTTGGTAGTCAGAAAATCTAAATTAGTTGGAAAAGATTTATGTTTATTCAGAAAAAGTACATTTTTTTGTCTGATTTTGTAACTTAAAATATCATCTGCACTAATTAATTAGCATATTTGAGCTCACCTCTCCAAACCATTAAGATTGAGTCCTAGAAAGTGAAGATCCGATCATTAGATCAAAAGTTATTCAGGATAGTCCCTTTTTTTGGCACACTGTACATTGAAATATAAGAGAAAGTGTGCCATACTTCAGTTGACAATGCTATATGCATATTTTACATGTATATCCTAGTGTAATTAATTTATCCTATAGACATTTTGTAATTTTTTTTCATTATTTTAATTTTAATCTAAACTTCAATTTTAAAAAAAAATTTCTTGAATTTTTCATATATTTTATTGTAAACATCACTCGAAATGTTAAACTTCATCTGTTAGTTAATAGTCAGAATAATCACAACTATTAAACATGTAAAGCGTTTTAATTCTTGAGGTAAATTTGTAACTTTTGTATTTTTGCTCGATTACCACCGGGCTGTTACTAAAATAGTACTATGTTTTTCTTGTTTTCTAATAAATGCCACGAAGAGGCTTCACTGGGCCTCTCGGCCGGTGCGTGTGCCAGATATTCTCTGTCCACCTCTGGCTGGGTGGGGACTGTCACGTCGACAAGTTGAAACTTTTTCCCGCATACCCATATTTGGGGGGGGGGGTCGGGGACCTAATTATCTTATTATTTTATACTGTTTAGCATTACATAAAGAAACTACTCTTCTGCTTTTAATGAAATACTAGGAAAAGTAATGCAATATAATCTTTGTAATATATAATCTTAAGAGATATTAAAGCACTGTTATAACATTGGGTATACTGACTGGCAGATTATAACATATTGTCAGTCTATTGGGTGTATGTTTAATTATCTAGGGTTTAAATTATTCATATTTTAATTCAAATGTAATTTTTGCTGATGACGTAATTTAAAAAAGAAAAAAATATTTATTTGCTTAGTGTTTTGAAACAAGCTTACTACTATGCAAAACACTGGTAATCTCTACAAATGGTTGCTAAAGTTTCATTCTATTCAGCATGTATGCTTTTATATCTTGTACATAGCTGTCAAATTTTTTGTATTTTCCGGTTGATTTAATTTTTATATGTAAAATGATGCTCAACTTTTGCTTTTCTATTTCTTTCCTGAATTAATAAATTTAATTTTGGAAGATTTTAATCACCACTTCATATCAATAAATTATCTATATAAATGCATGCTAATCATATGATGGTGTATTTAAGTTCTTTCAAAATTTAAAAACATTTTCGTCTACAGTTGATTTCTTACTTCTCGTTTCACTACTACTTTAGAAAATCATTCTTGGAGAGAACAAAAGTTGGCAGATATGCTTTTAGCTTGAATGAAGCATTTTGTCAAATTTCTCTTTAAAGTTTATATGTTTGCAAAATAACTTAAATTCTTCTTTTAAATACAAAAGGTGCTATATTCATAAATAAGTGTATATACATTATTTCACAATGTCTGTCCTAAACACATATTTGTCCACATGAAAATTTGTTCTTTCACAGTCAATCTTCAGTAGCCACATGACAAAAAATCATCTGTATATTGCAGAAAATAATTTATCATAGTAAAAGTGCACCTATCAGTAAAAATTATTCAATTCTATTTTTTATTCAAAAATAATAAACTATCCTTGACTGCTACTTTTTTTTTTCTTATGAAGTTTCAATATCTATTAATAAATGGATAGCTTATTTCTTCTGAACAAAAGGAGAAAATGAAATGCTCTTACTACCATTTTTATTTTATTTTCTGTATAAGTAGCAAACCTGCCAAAATATGCAAATTATTTTGGACAGTTACATATTAATTTAAATTTTTAGAATTCTTGTTATAAAGAAAAAAATATGCACTATTAGAGTTGCATATCAGCATTCATACCAGCTAAAAAACTATCAGAATCTATTAAATAACTAATAAGAAAGGTGCGTTTGAAAACGTCATAACCTGTTTAATTGTCAGCAGAAACTTGGAAGTATTTCTAGTAAATGCCTATTAGTGCCTCTTTTCTTCATCAATCTAACAGGTTTTGATTTTTTCTACCATGCTTTCCTCACTAGTGATTCAGAAGACACTGATAGGATTTTTTGTTCCTTACTGAAATATTAAATTTTGACTACAAATATGTAAACTATTTTGATTTCATTTTTTGACGAAGATTCTAAAAATATGCATTAAAGGTGATCGCCATGGAGCACTTTGAACACCTGTGATATATATAGCTTTATTCTTTTAAATTGTAAATCTATTGGCATTTATCTATTCTGTAGTTTATCTGAAAGTGTGAGAGATGTCCAGTTTTGTCCTCATCAGTATTTTTCTTTTGCTGCTGTTCAAGAAAATGGATATGTCCAGCTGTGGGATCTTCGAAGAACCGATAGATTTGAACGCCAGTTTGCTGCTCACAGTGGTCCTGTGTTCACGTGTGATTGGCATCCAGATGAAAAACTGTGGCTTGCTACTGCTGGTAGAGATAAAACTATTAAAGTAATACACAGTGATCTTGAAACATACAAAAAATTATGAAATATATTTTATGCAAAAAAATTATCCAATATATCTTCTTTTCTTAACATTCCATACATAATTATGATACTAATTAATTTACTGTATAAAATAATCATTTAAATATTATGCTCTTTTAATTTAATATAGAATCATGTTTGCATAACGTATCTTCTTTATCTATAATTTTAATGTGTTTGCATTATGTATATTTTTCTTTATATATAATTTTCATGTATTTGCATAATGTATAATTTATGCCTGCCCTCCAACTTTTGAGTTTTGTACAAAATATCTTTATTAATTATAATGAACTAAAGCCAACATTTTTAAAATTAATAGATTTCTTATTTGCATAATATCTTATTTGCTTAATATGCTTATCAAAATTTTAGAGCATGACCAATTTTCTATCTTACCTTTAATATATATATTTAAATTTTTTATGCTTAGCGGTGGACAAAACTATTTTATTTCTAACATACTGAAATATTTGTTTGTTACCTTTTTTACCACTTTCACTAAAAAATTTATCTTCTGAAATAGTTGGAAGATATGAATATGTATGTAATTATAACGTAATATATTTGCAATAAGATTTTAGATTTGACTTATTAAAATTAGGACTAGACAAGGGTCCTAAACGTGTCCTGATTAATCTGGACTGTGTATTATCAGCATAATCGTTTTTTTTTTTTTTTTTACCTTAGTGAAAATCATAATAAATTAATACAGCTTTTATTTTTGATTTTCAATTAAAATTAAATGTATTATTATTACTCTATGATAGTACATAATGTTATATTTTTGTTTATTTTCAGGTTTGGGATATATCTCATAAAGAATCTTTACAGTATTGTATACAGACTATAGCTTCTGTATCTAGAGTAAAATGGCGTCCCAATAAAAAGTACCATATCGGGAGTAGCTCATTGGTTGTTGATTTTACTGTTAATGTGTGGGATGTCAGGAGGCCTTTTGTTCCTTTGGCTTCATTTTGCAAACATAAAGATGTTGTTACAGGTAAGAAAAATGAATTGATTAAAAATCAGTTTGGAAGAAGTTTTATCTCATATTGTGATATTTTCTAATTAATGGTAAAAATGAATGAGCATGCATAATTAAACCTCCATAGTAGCCTGGAGTATGAAAATACAAAGTTTAACATAAAATTTTAACGAACTTCAGTGCTGAATTTTTAATTATTTGAAAGAGTTTACTGAAATTTCCTCTTTTATGTTTTCTTGAAGGTAACAAAATGGAGTTTTCAAAAATCATGCGACTAATTTAGTACCTAGTCTATAGTACCTAGAACTTCAGTGCTGAATTTTTAATTATTTAAAAGGGTTTACTGAAATTTTAAATTTCCTCTTTTATGTTTTTTTGAAGGTAACAAAAAGGAGTTTTCAAAAATCATGCGACCAATTTAGTACCTAGTCTATTATGGAATGGAAAACATCATTGCCCTTTTTTGCTTTAAATTAATTAAATTAGCATTTTTTATTTAGTATCATCTGAAAATAAATAAAGTTATCAACACCATTGTATATGGTCAAGAGCTCTATTTGATCCTTGAAGTCAATGAATGTTGTATTATTTTTAGCAGTTGTATAATCTGTATTTGTACTTTCATATACGATAACACAAAATCATCCATTTTAACACACATTTTACTCATGTATGTTAACAGTCAGATGTCTTTATTCTGGTAAGATGTATATTTACAGTGATGCCAGAAGTATACCATTGGTGTACTTCTGGCATTTCTCTGTGCATAGCTGGCAAATTTTAGGTGTGTGGTAAATTTTTTATGCTGTTTGAACATTTTTAATTAGGGCTGTGTGGAAAAATCCATTGCTTTTTTTTTCAATATGGAATTAATTTTAATCTAAAAACTACTGCATACTTTGAACTTGTTTTTCCTTTTTCTCAGTTTTACCAGGACATGAGACCTCTAAAGGATTGTTAGAACTTTTGGTAGTTTGAGGATTTTCTTGTGCATCATCCTGTTTCTATATGGAAGCAATTTTTATTAGTGGTATAAACTGGAACGAATGGATCAGAAGCTTGAATTTATAGCACAAGTTATGATTTCATCTCAAGTTTCTTAAAAATTATTTAATTTGATGTTGTGTTAAGAAAAATCTCTTTTTTTTTCAACCTAAAAATATATTATTTTTTATTTCTCTGTTCTATTTAGTGTTTAGGTTTACACTTAAATGTAGCATGTGTATGCCCGTTAGCATTCTTTGGGGTTCATGACTAGCTATTAACTAAAGAAAAGCGTCTTTTGCTTAAATAAATTTTTCATGATAAAGTGCATTTATTTTTTATTTTCATTCACTGGAATGCTATTCAACATTTTAGGTTTTGATTTACCTAATTTAATGTAATATAATTACTATTCTTATTTATAGTTAATTTTTTTAATCTCGCTCAGGTTTTGCATGGCGATCTCCTAAACTTTTGCTAACTACCAGTAAAGACTGCAAACTCTTTCAACACTCCTTCACTGACGCAGACAAGCCAGCAGACCGTGCAAACCCCGTTGGTCTTAACATTGACCCGTGGGGTGACATTGGATATGCCTTCAATAAAAATAACCTGAAGGAGACGACCATAAGTGTGAAAGGATATCCTAATTTTTCAGTTTCAAAAATACTACCATCTGGAAGAAAGTCGTCTAGTGCTCATGATAGATATAAAACATGTTTGAGTGCATTAGTGATTCTTGAAGATCAGAAGCAGCAGGTAATATTTTTTTTCTACTGCTACTTGTGTTATCAAATTTTTGTGTGAAAATCAGTTCTTTATATAGCTTTTAATAAAAGTTATGATTTCATTAATTTCTGTCTTTTTATCTCAATCTTTTATCAGTTATTTTCAAGGCTGGCTTGATTTAAATTGTGCTTTAGATCACCTGATTTTTTTTTAAAAAGTCATTGATTTAAATCAATTAAATTTTATTTAAAGGCAATCAACAAGCTGAATTTTTTTTTTTAAATTATTAAGTATGAAATATTTTTTGTACAATGTAGTTAATAAATGCATTCTTAAAAGTGTGATTTTTATTGAGTCAGATTTCAGGGATAATGAAGGTTTTTTATTCAAAAATATAGAAAGGGATATACATGTAAATTATTATATTTACATGTATATTCCTTTCATTATTTCATTTAAAAAAAGCATCAATTTAAATGAACTGATTTTTTATTAAAAAAAAAATCTAATCATAAGATAAAACACAGAAATTAACTATTTTATAGCGTATTACTTATAAAAATTGATTTTTTTTTAAAACTATTGATTTAGGTATTAAATAATTTGTGTACAATATAATTAAAAAGTGCATTATTTAGGGTGTATTATTTTAAACTAAGAAATAATAGATTTCTTACTGTGAAATAGTAGAAGACATATGCATGTCAATTTTTATATTTCAAAATAGACTAAAAGTAGAAAAGGAGAATAAAGATGTATAAGAGTGTGAAGAAGTTTACTATTATTCGTCATTAGATGTCTAATTGACAAATAGTCTCCCAATCTTTAGCATTCATTATCAAGTTGAGTTTGAAAAAACATAACTATGATTTAATTTATTCAATGATTAGTTTTTAATAATTAAATAATAAGTTTAACCATTTTAGTAAGAAATGTTAACTATTTTAACTAAGATATTGTTTTTAAAAATTATTAAGTAATATTTATACATCTTATCAGATGTTTCAGTTGGGAAACGTAAAAAAAATCTGATTTGAACCTTTTTTTTTTTTCAAAAATCTTGATTTTTGCTTTTTTTTTCGTTATTCATTGAAAATTATTCATTATGTTCCTTTTTTTAATTTCAGGTCATGTCCATGAAATGGTTTGTTGAAACAGCCAAAAGGTACTTGTTGCATGGGAAACCTTTACCTGATTTGTGTGAACATAATGCAAATGTTGCTTCGCAATTGAATCGACCACATATTTCTCAAACATGGTTGATTTTGAAGCTGCTTTACACTTCAGGATCAATGCTTTTGACTGAATATTCACATGTAGCTTCTCAAGATGACAAAGGTCATTTTTTTGCCTTTTTATCTGGTTTATTTTTTATTTTTTAACTGTTTTAATACTCCTTTGTGTTTTTTCCCAATAACTTTTTCTTGTTATGATAATTTGCTTTGTATAAAATTTTATTATTCTATTAATTTATCAATTTTTTTTCCTTGTAATCTTCTATTTGTGTCCTTACAAATTTATGTAAATAAAATGATCAGAAAAATTATCAAAATTAATTTTGGAACTTTCTTTTAATTTATTATTTTATTCAAAATTAATCTTATATCTTTGTTTGTTTTAATTTGCAATAGTAATGTAAGGTAAATTTAATTATATTATTAAATATTGGTATCAAAAACAATTTATTCTCTACCATGCATTTACATGAAACCAAGAATTTTCTTGTGGATTTTATTACATCATTGTAGACTAAATAGATTTTTAAAAAATTTATCATCTTTAGTTTAATAGAGTTCTGAAAATCATATGTAAACTTCATTTCACAAACTAAAATGTTTTAATTATATGAAGAATTTAGTTCATAAAATTTATTATCTCTGTTTACATATATATCAAATACAATTCAAGATACCAAAACTAGTGAAAATTAAGAAAAAGATATAATCAGAAATAGCATTCCAAGATGTGGCAGCTCCAAGCTGCTAGTATTACACTAGGAGGAATATTTGAAGAAAATATATTGAAAGGGAAAATACAAAAATTATTACCTCATATGAGAACAAAGTCAAACTAAGTCGTTGAAACATACTGGTTTCAACAACTAGGCGGTATGTTACCCCAGGCAATTATACCCCCTAATGCTCCAAGGCAAGCAAACTAAACTAAACAGCAAAGATTTACAATTTTATAAAATATTGCTGCAAGTTACCTTAATGGGATTAATTTGAGGTAAAATAACATTTCTATAGTTTCATTTATTTCAGTGCTTCCAATTTTGCTTCTTTTTATTATTTTTCCTTTCTGGTGGCATTTTTAAGTGCTTTCACAAGATGGTGTTTTTTAGTTTGCCATTTTCAGACTTCCTTCTCGTATGAAATAATAGCTTTTTGTATTGTATCTTTAAATTTATTTTCTTCATATATATATTTATATATTAATTTAATGTTAAGGAGTTAATTGTATGTTACTCTTAAAAGTTTCTTTGTTGTTAACTAAATTTATATTATTACCATGAGCAAATCCCTGGATAAAACTCTACTACTATTTGACAAAAAAAAAATTTAAATAAAACAATTTTTTATTAAATGTTAATAATTTCTCTAAAATAATCAATATAATAATTTTATAGTTAAAATTCAACCTTATTAATATTAAAATTTTATCATTAAAATTCAGCATTATTAACTTTGAAATGTCCATTATATTATTACCTTGCACGCATCCAGATTCGGGCCAATCCAAGGTAACTAGAAAGTCAAATGCGCTTCTGTTCTTCAGTAAGAGCAGGCCATAAGTTGATCCTATCATCCTATATACACTTCTATTTTCATATTTTGTAATCTCGCAAACTTGTTACAAGAACATTTTTTTAAATCATTTTTGAAAAATGTTGGTGAGTACTTTTGAATTGGCTACTGACGGGCAAGCTATGTGGAAATCCCAAACTAAGGAAAATGAGATGGAGAAAATGATGGGGACAGTAAAATCATCAAAATTACGTGCATCAAAATTTACACTATGAAAATCCTAAGCAAAATGCAATCCCAAATCTGACAAAAAAACTGCAGTAAACCTGACAAAAATGCAATCATAAATCCTCGTGTGATTGGAGGTAAATCGTCAATAATTGAGTGTGAAGCGTGCTATTCAAAAATTAACAGATTAAATAATATCTTATTAAAACATTGAGATTTTAAAAACCTAGGGAAAATCCATTTTAACAACTACCAAAAAAACGATTGACAAAACCATGCAGATTCACTGTGGAATCGTCACTAATCGAGTGGATTGAGAAATTTATTACCTCCTGAAATGTGTGATTCGGAATTTGCAGTATGTTTTAATGGTGTATATCAAGATTTTAAAAGTGCAGAAATCTGTAAGAATAGCTGTTGGCAAACCATGTGGATTTATACGTCGTTGATTGAAATTGTTGTTAATTAACATCTATTTGTTATTTTTTATTGAATAAAGATCTTTGTTTACCCTAAAGACCTATTGACTGGAAATATCTATTTTCCGGACTTGCCGAATTCCTGCCGATTGCCCCATGTGGTACTTTCCACTGCAAATGTTTTAAATTAAACGTACCATTGTAATTTTCTTGATTTTAATGCTATTTTTATGTTACTTTTACTCATAAATATTTTTATTAATTTACAGCTCTTGAGAGCTCACTAGAGAGTTCCCAAAAACCCAGAGTTAACAATGGAGTTCCCTACCGCAGCCATCCCAACAGCAGCAAACCGGTCAGTCGGCACGTGAGCGGAGGCAGCCATGCCACCATTGAAAGAGGGATCAATGACAATCTCGAGGATGATTCCGATTCAGGAAATACCGAGCACGAAAACACCATCACCTACATAGCCAGTGAACTTACTCAGGGCGACTTCTTCTTCGGTGATGGCGAAGCGGAATTGTTCCGCATGTTGGATTATTCCCAATTCTCGACTCTGCCTGCGGATGAAGACTGGACTTTACCCAGAGAAGCTTTCAATGTCCGCCATCGTCTGGGTGATGGTTCACCTCCTCCTGAAGTGGCTAACATGCCTAACTCACCCCTCTGCGCTGCGGAAGAGATATCTGAGAGAGAATTTTCCATGAATGAAGAAGAAGAACAAAGTATGATGCTAGCTTTATTCAACGCTCCTCGCTTCCCACCTTGGAATTTCACTGATATAGTTGTTGATATGCTCCAGTTTTATGCTGAACAGGTAGCCCATTTCAAACATAATTCAAATTATTCTATTTAATAAATATATAGTTATTGTAAATAAAAATTTATAATTATAAATTAAATCTTTCATATATCCATACTTGCTAACTTCTAATGCTTTTGGTGAACATCTGTCTTAAATGTATATAGTAGTAAGGAAAATTGCCCTTTACTTATTTTATTTTTGACCTCATAAATTTGATTCACAATTATTTTGATTGACACTGTACTTTGAGTCTTGATAAACAGATTATTACTGTAAGAATTTGAACAAATATTTAAGATCTGATGATCGTGCTGGGAAGTTGGGAATGTGGAAAAAAAGTAAACAAGTCAAGCATACTTCATTATAACTCCACTACCACTTAAAATATTGTGGTGAACCAGGACTTTTGGATTGGCATGTGGGAATAAATATAGTACTAATAATTGATTAAGAGCATGGTTCTTTTATTCTGTAAAAATGCACTATACTTTACCAACAGAGCCATAAATAATCTGTCTAATAAATACTTCTTTTTTATGTAATGCAATTGCGGGTTAGTTCCACCAAAAAGTACTCCATGAAGGCTAGTTTGCCTCAATGCTTGATCCAAGAATATTCTATTTTGGACAGTTGGTAGTCTTAAACTCAGAATCCAGTCGGCTATTCAAAAAACGCCGGTTATAAAAAAAAATAACTTGCCAGCATAAATCTGCTTTTAGTTATATGAGCAAATTTTAACTTGTGATTGTTCCTAAACTTTTGCCTTTTTTAAAGAATCTTTTCTTTTTTAGTATAATGTTTAAATTAATGTATTTGAGATATAAATTTTGCTTAACATTATGCCTGGTCTAGTGCCTAATCCATAAATTTAGGTTGCTTTTTCTTTAGATTTTTTTGCATTGGTAGGAAAAACAGAATGATTTTTCTTTAGCTTTCTTATAAAACACTTAGTAGGTTGCAAATCTTTCTGCATGCTACTATTCAAACGTTAAAATCCTATTAAACAATTAAATGTCAATTTATTAGTAATTTTTTTCTACTATAATATACCTTATTTTATTATAAAGCCACCATTTCTTCACAAACTCATTATAATAAACAATCAATGCACTTTTCATAGACTATTTAATGGTACTGATTACTTTGCCCTTCTAATAAAATCCCACAAAGGCCTCGTTATGCAGTTAAATTTAATTTGAACCTCCTGTATCATAAACTCCTGATCCTGTAAAGTAAAAGGATTGTATGTTGTCCTGTAGTGGTGCTTATATATATTTTTTTATAAGTTTCATCCACAATTAATTAACTTTTAATCATTTCTAAATCTTTTACTTTGTTTAGGGTGATGTACAAATGGCTGTCTCGGTGTTGATTGTTCTTGGTGAGAAGTTGAAATACATTGTAAAAGAAAGTTTGCAGGAGCAATGGTTTCAGTCTTATTTAGGTTAGCAATGCTTTAAATGCAAATTTTAAATATCAGGATATATTATCTTCTATATAGAGATATATTAGTGTTTTTTTCTCATTTTTTGCAGAACTTTTAAGTCGCTTCAAGCTGTGGAATATTTCCAATGAAGTAATAGCCTTGAGTAGCTTACCAGCTATTAACTCATTAAACCAACAGTCCACAATAGTCAATTCAATTTGTGGAAAATGCGGCAAATTCATGAATTCTGTTGGTTGGTACTGTGATAATTGTAAAGAAACTAACGTTTGCAGTGTGTGGTAAGTGCAAAATTGTTTCATTTTATATACATACAACCTGAAGATGCTTTATGATCTACATGTTTATAAAATTACGTAAATATGGATTTTAGATTTTAACATCTAATCATGTTTTATATTGTATTATTGTTGTTTCTCCCATTTGTAATATTTTTTAATCTTAATGCTATGTAGTGGCATGGCAGGAAATTTTTATGAGTTTAATTAAGGAGTTTTGTAAAAATGTTCACAAATTGAGCAAAGATACTTATTTTGTTTTTGATGCATTCAAAACTCTTTATTAATAAGTTAAAAAAATTTCAATCAAAAATTTTCCTTCCATGAAAACGTCTTAAGATTTATTCATATAAGGCAGGTAATTTTTTTTTTAAATATATTAGATCACCCATAAACTCTGTAGTATGTTTCAATCACTCATTCAAAAGATCAATATGCATCCTTTTTAGCTATAAAATTTTACATTCTGGCCTGTTGTTAAAACCATTTGATACAGAAGTTCCTGTTTTGAACCCCGTGCCATTAATTACTTACCTTGTGGAAATAGTATGCTCTCTTTAGAGTGTTGATGTAGGATTCCATAAATTTTTTTTTTTTTTGGAAATTCTTTTTATTTCAGTAATAATTTAAAAAGTTTTTTGTCTTAGCAAATTTTCACCTAAAATAACAACTTCAAGTTTTGTAATATGTACTATGGGGAAAAAAACAATTAGAAAAAAAAAGTGAGCTAAATTTTTCTTTGCAAATTTTGTAGCCATTTTGTGATTCCAATAATAAAACTCTAAATGATTTTGAAAAATTGTTTTAAGAATTTAAAGCAAAATTTTCCATCGCTGCATACCACTTAATCTATGCATGTAGAAACATTCAAATTAAAACTCACTCATTGAATTTATTTTAAAATAAACTGTGTTTTTAGGATATTTTTCTTTTTTAGAACTAACATATAATTATTTGCAGTCATCAACTTGTTCGTGAAATATTTGTGTGGTAGCCATTTTGTGATGAATAGTCCAATAATAAACCTCTAAATGATTTTGAAAAATTGTTTTAGGAATTTAAAGCAAAATTTTCCATCGCTGCATACCACTTAATCTTTGCATGTAGAAACATTCAAATTAAAACTCACTCATTGAATTTATTTTAAAATAAACTGTGTTTTTAGCATATAATTTATTTATTTTTTAAACTAACATTGTATAATTATTTGCAGTCATCAACTTGTTCGTGGAATATTTGTGTGGTGCCAAGGATGCGCTCATGGAGGACATTTATTACATATTCAAGAGTGGTTTCAAAAGAACAAGAAATGTCCTGTTGGTTGTGGACATTTATGTGAATATACATAATAAAGTGCTAAAAAAATTTTTATGTACATATATAAATTATAAACTATTATTTATTTTGAAACAACTTTCACTGCTATGACAAATATTTTGTATACAAATGTAATATTAAATCTTTATAAGATGACATATCAATTTTTTTAAATTTGCTATAAGTGCCATTATTTTTTTTTCTACGATGAAATTAAACAATTCTCCTAATGACGGTTTTTTGTTAAATACTTTTTCTTCCAATTATACTTTATTTTTAGATTCATTTTTTAATGTGATTATTGATATTTGAATGTGAATGTTGTTTTAATACTTTGTGCCTTGATGTGAATTATATTAATTTCATGAAAGGGCGTGTAATTGATCTAAAATGGTTGCGAAATGAATCTGATAATAATCTGAAATCTTACTTTAGAGAAATGGAAACATAATTTCTTTTATCAAATGAATGTCATGACAAATAATATGAATGTCATAATAAGTATTTTCTGTATGACATTCGTCATGATGTATGTCAAATGTCATTCATAAAATGCTTGTATGACAATAAATATTTCATTAAGAATTACTTAATCTTAGTACATAACGTTTTCGTTATTCTTGCATAGAATAATTATTATTCTAATGCAAATTAAGAAGAATGCTGTGATTGTCTTTTAAAATGTATCTTTTTTCTGATTGAGATTGATAATTTTTCTTCAATTCACATATTATTCTTAAATTAGTTGAAAAAAGGAATTCCAAGAAATTAATTGTATGAATATTCAATTATATAAAACTCTTCAAATCCCTTTCTAATAGTAAAATCTTTGACTTCTTTGCTGTAGTTCAAATTTAAGTTTAGTTTGCTTAACTTAATAGTGTATATGGGATGTAATAAAACTAATGGTCAAAGTAATAGCTGGTATATAACTTGCTAAAATAAATGACTTTCACCATACAATGTGGAGTCTAAAAGCAACGGGCGAGCTGTTAGAGATCACCTGCATGGTGAAAATGGAAAAGAATCTATATTATTGAAAACTTTATTGCAAATAAGTGACCGCCAGCTCTAATGCTGATTCTCACGTCAATATCCACTCACCTTGTAAACAAGTCTTAAAAGATTGGTTAGAGAAAAAGCAAAGTTTCGGCAAGGCATAGGAAGAGGCCATGAGATGGGCTCATTATGGTCAATTTATCAATTATTAAGGGAGTACTCTAATAACATCTTTGAGCAAGCACTTTCTTCTGTGTTGTCCTTTGCTTTCTGAGCTTGCATTGTCAAATCAAAGTTTCTGTTTGTTACTAAAAATAATTTCTTTGAAAGTTCTATCATTCATTACAGTTGCAACCATTAGTTTTGTTACGCCCAGTACATTGTATTATTAATGCAAATTCGAGTGTCATAAGAGATTTTTAAGAAATCAGTATGTATCAATTAATTAAGAGATAACTATGAATAAATCAAGAATTTCCTCATTGAAAACTGGATTAACAAACTATTCTGTTTTTTAAAAAAATTTATAATTAATAATTTAAATAAAATCTGAAATGTTTGCCTTCAGCAGATTGGGCTTTCCTTTATTAGCCAAAAACGAAATTTTATTTTATTCATCAAAGACGCATTAATTTTCTTGAATTTTTTTTTTAAATATTGTTTGTTTTATGTGATTAGTTAATTTGGATGAGAAAGCAAAATTCTTTAGCAATTATGTGTTGTTTTTCCTCTATAAGCATAATGTTAGCTGAGAAAGGAAAATCAAGAAATAAGATTTTTTTTTTTTCATTTCTTTTTCTCAAGAACAGCTTGATGTCCAATTAAATGTTCGATTTGCTCATGAAACTTGCTTGTATAAAAGCTGTTAAAAAATTGCATTAATAAAAAATGTTTCTCTTATTAAAAATTACTTTTTGCAATCAGATTGCAGCTTATCTTCCTATTCAAAGAGATGAAGTGTCAGAATCTACCAGGAAGAAAAAAAATGTGCGATTATTGAGAGAATGTGGTTTTTCATGTCTGATTTCATAAATTATTGTTTACACTATTTAGCATAATTAAAATGTGCCCTCGAGCCATTCAGATAGCATAAGTAGTGCATTGCTCATTAAATCAAAGGTTATTCTATTGTAGTTCGTTTTTCAACAACTGTACTATATTTCTCTGTTGCTATAAGTTACTGTAAATAAATCACTTCAAAGTATATTGCTGCCATATTGAAATTGTTTGTGATATTTATTCACAAATCTTGTAAATATAAATTATTTTAACATGCAAACTGGAAAATTTTGTAATTATAAATAAATATATATTTTTCATACTTTGTTGGTACTGTTCTTTTTTCTGTATAACTTTTTGTGTTGTTCTTTTCAGTATTCAAATCTTATGTCAACAGTTAAATTAAATTTGCCCAGTTGTATACTTCCAGTAAAATATTTGTGTACTTATAAAAGTTAAAAAGGGAAAACTAGTATAAAAACCTGTTGAATACCTTTTGAGGAAGACCGAATTAAAAACATCAAAACCTATTTGTATGCTCGAGAAAATTGGTTGGATGTGGCCGATGATTATTATGAACTATTTAAAGTTTAATTGAACAATAAAACTGATTTTGATGTTTTTAATCCCATCTTTCTCAATGGTAATTCGTTAGACTTTGATTAAATTTTTGATTTTTTTCTCATTTTTAAAATTGTTTTGTGATTCTTACGGTGTTCTTACTTATTTTTGACTAAAATTCTATGGGCCTGTATAGAAAATAGTATCTTTATTTTTAAAGGGTTTCCCTTTATGTAATGACAACTTAAAAAACATTATGCTTTAATGCAGTTTTAGAATATTTTTCATTTATTTAGTAATTTTCCAAACATAACAGATACATTCCTCTAGAATTTTATATTACATTATAATGCATTTATTTAGAAAACACTCATACAAAAGTTGTTTAAGATTCTAATTTCTCTTCAATAAATTAAGGAGCTTTGGTTAATATAATGACAAGTTATGCTTCATAAATTTTTAGTAAAAGCGTTTTTTTTTTCGGTGAAAAATACAATGATTTACATGTATTTATGCAATAAGATGTTTATGCTTGTTATGTTATGTAGCAAAAATTGCGTAAACTTGTTTTAGGTACCTATTTGGAAACATTACTAAGTAACAGCTTGATATGAAACAATTGTTGTCAATGAAAAAAAGTGTAGTTTATCACCATTAGCCTTCCACTTACCTCCTATCGAAATAATTAAAACACTTGTGTTAAAGATCACTTTTTTTTAGACTTAAGTGTTTTAATTATTAAATTTGTAGAATGACAACTTGCAAAATGAGAAAAAAAATTGTCCTTCATAACTTTTTATCTAATATTCAGATTTTTATTTGTTAAATTTCGAAGTCAGACACTGAAACCTACTTTCAATTTATTTCAAATAGTTGGGGTATACTTGAATCACAAATTATTATTTATCATATTTTTATTATTATTATTATTATTTAATGTAGTCTAGCTCTGTTGCCCAGGCTGGAGTGCAGTGGCGCAATCTCAGCTCACTGCAACNAATTTATTTCAAATAGTTGGGGTATACTTGAATCACAAATTATTATTATTTAATGTATCTAAGATTGAAACTTTGGACCATATAGTTTTAAATGCTAAAATAAATGAAACTGGGATAATAATTAATGGGGATTATAATTTATAGAAAACTTATCATTTTTCTTCAAGTGATATATTTTTAAATTGTTGTTTTTCAGAAAATATGCAAAAAATGCTAATATTTTCTATTTTGGATTTTAAAATGACTTGCCTTTTTAAGTCAAAAATGTGTCGATTAGAGATTAATAATAAAATTTACTATCGGATTAATTCATCTTTAAGCAAAAAAAAACATTATTAAGTGCAAAATTTTTTTAATTGATGGAATTTCTTAAAAGGCTAAAAGTGGCATGGTATAGCTATTTTCATAAATTAAAGTTAATTAAGTAAGGCTATTTTCATAAATTAAGTAGTATCTTTAAAGTGTGTCTCACTAAACACTGTAGATTTCAATAACTTAATTACTTGAAAATCCTTATTGTTTACTTAAATAAATCAAAATTTATTCAGGGAATTCGTTTTATGTTTTCACTCTTAACTTAACCACTCTATTGAAATATTCATAAGTGCTGCTATCACCGCCAGTTTGGTTATTCAACTTAACATTCCATTTTGTTTCGCTGCGCAAAAATTATTAGACTTAAAAACTTTAAATCATGAAGTTTTATCTATTAATGTATGGGATAAACAAAAAGTTGGTTCATAATTAGTTTGAAAAAATAACTATTAAACTTGTAGTAAAAAGTACCATGCGGGTAAAAGCATTTTCTACAAGTCTCAAGATCGCAACTACAGAGCTGAAAGAACTATTTTTGTTTATTTTTTATTATTAGTTTTTGTTTTTTTTTTTTTTTTTTTCAAATTTACAATGTGCTTGAAAATTATATCAAAAAAATTAAATTTCCGCTTTTCTTTTATCACATTTTTGTTTTAAATAATGACTTTTTATGCATTATTATAAAATTAAAAAAATTTATCGCACTTGAGATCTTTATTTTATAAGCTCAAACTTGACTTGATATCAAAAGTAACAATTAAAAATATGAGTGTTTAGATGTTGCCTAGTCGATCTGTTGCCTAGAAAAATCTTAACATTTATAACGAAATTATTAAAAATACAATAGACTCAAGAATTTCCAGTTTGAACTGTAAAAGTAAATAAAGTAAATTGTTATATTTTGTTATCAACTAAAATTATTTCTCATTTATTAATTCTTATTGTGTCAGATATTGTGTATTTCTTAAAGTAATTTTTCTTCAAGGGCCGTTTATTATTATTCCAATCCAAGTAATCTCACATTTCGTTGCAATTAACGAAATGTCCTAACATAAAATTTTAATGATTAATTATATAAACAAAACAAAACAAAATTTTTTTAAATATTCATTTTTAGAAGACAAAAAAGGCAAAAATGAATGAGAGGCATCTTCAGGGGGTTGAGGAGCAGAGCGAGCAGGAATGTAGCATCGTAATTACAATTTTTAAAAAACTATTTATTAAAATAATGATAAACATCATCAAAAAATAAATAATTAACTTTTTGAAAAAACTGAATTGATATTAATAACTAAATTCATAACTATTCATATCCTAAGCATATCTGAAGGAACAGTTCTTGCAATGATAAGAAAGAAAGAAAAAAAATGTTGCAATAACCAAGCGATGAGATGATGTACGACTTACAGTCCCGACGTCACAGTGCGATACGACCAGCTTCCGCTCATTAGTCCGCTTATCAAAAGATGAAGAAGCGGCATCATTCTTTTAATCCTCTTTTCTCATCCATTACGTCGCGAAGATCCAAAAGACGTTCTGCGACATTTCTTTTTTTCCCTTCTAACATCCAGCGAATCTTAAATGTAATGATCGGCAAGTAGTAAGTGTTTCGTGAAAACTGATTCAGATAAACGTTATGAATTATGAGTAATAAAATGGACTTGGCGCGGTAGTAAGACACCGCCTTGTCGCCAATTTTATAGTTTCTCTTTAAATGAAAGACTAGGACTGTAATTGTAGATGGAGTTCGGTTTTAGAAGAAATGGGGGGAGGGAAACTAATATGACCAGCGTTGGCCAGGATAAAAAATCTTTAGTAAAGAATTGATATGTGTTGTTTTGAAATAAATACTGCCTAGTGTTGGATTATATTATAAAACGTTAGATTGGTGTCATTGTCGTACAATGTTATTTTGATTTTTTTTAAAAAAGCGAAAATTCCAATGACTTTGTGTTATATGTTGTTATTGTGTAAACCGTCATTGACCGGAAGGATTCAACTTGCTTCAAAAATCTCAAATGTTGATCATTTTTTTACGAAAATTTAAATAAAAATCTCAAATAATATAATAATCTTACTACAATATATATATATATAGAGAGAGAGAGAGAGCACAACTAAGACAAGAAGGATGTAAAAAAAAGAGAGAAAATTAAGAAAAATAAGTTTTAATATATCAATGCAAAAACTTTATTATATTAACTTTCATGTTTTCACTATATTTTTAACTTATGTATGCAATGTGCATATATATATATAGGTATATACACATATGCAGTTTTTTTTATTCCGTATCAGTTTGAGTATTTGAACCTATGTTTATTTTAATAATTTATATTTTTAAGACAAATAAAACTGATTTTCTAAAATTACTTTTTGGAATTCAGAAGATAATAATTAATTTTTTGTTGTTTTATAATTCGGAAATAAATTTTTTTGTGTACATTTGAGAATTTTCTTGCATTTTAAATGCTTTGAAGAATGTTGATTTTGAAAAAATTTCTTTACGCTAACACGCATTACAAAACAAATTTATCATAGATTTCTTTGAAATTTTTAGTGTAGATTTTGTTTAATGTTAGCGATGTTTTTAAATGAAAGTTAGAGTATAAGTGTGAATTTGTTGTTTTCATCGAAGTCTAACATAAATATTCAGAATTTTTCTTTTAGAATTCAATATTAAACAATGTATTTGGTTCTATTTATTGTTCGTTTGTTTTTTTCATTTTTTAAGATTTTAATTTAAAACACAGACAATCATTTCAGTTGTCTTGAAAAAAAAAATTTGAAACTTATGCATTACCATTTGCTGTAGATCTGTTAGCGGGATAAAAATTTCTAGTTTCTAAACTCAAATTTTCCCTTACTTTGAAAAATATTTTATAAATTTTTAAACTTGAGTTTGCATTCATTATTTTACAAACCCTATTTACCAAACATAAAATTAATACTTTAATTGAAGCTTTTTTTAAAAAAAAATAACGTCGAAACCAATCGAATAGCTTAAGAAAAATTAGCGCAATGCACGGTGACAATTTTTGCTTACACTTGAAAATCAGTTTATATAAAACCTGATTAAGTGCAGTAAGTAAACGACACCAATAAAAGCTCAAATTCTTTATTGTACAAGCAATTAACACTTTCTCCTTTAACGTGTGTTTATATTTCTTAATTTGGCACATTCCAAAACATAGACATTGTTTCTTATCTATAAACTCTATATGTAATTCAAAGTAGTATTTAAGAATCTTTGCATTGAAACATAATCACACATTAAAAATAAAGCGTACGTCTTTGGTATATAAACCATATCACTGAAATGGAGACATGAGATTGGGCGGAACAGGTGGCATATCTGGTACAGGTGAATCCAGAACGGGAGGCATACCCGGCCCCAGCATATTTGGCACCATGCCTTGAGTTTCCATAGGATAATTAAATAGCCACAGTCTATCTCCAATGACCATAGGCCTTGCTGCGTGTAGACCCATTGATTGGTAATAGTGCTGAGCTAAAAGTTCCAAGTCTGTGCTATATTTCCGTTTCCATTTTGTTCTTCTGTTTTGAAACCAGATCTTTATCTAAAATTTAATAAAAAATTATTTGGGATATTTAATTAAACCAAGACATAAATTGATTGCAACCGTCAGTTAAGTTACTAGTCTAGTTCAGCTTTCGTTAAACTACTAAACTAATGTCTATAAATATGAAATATTTTAAAATAACACCAATATACGATCTTTTCAAATCCGGAATTTGCAGTAAGCTGGGGTGATTGTAAATGTATATGTTACCGTTAAAGTATGAAATCCGTTATTTTATAGAATACCTAGTTATTCCATGAAATAACTGATCGTGTCCGTTAAAGTGTAAAACTCTCTTGTATTTCATGGTTTAACTAGTTATTTCATAGAATAACGATCTGCTGCCCGTTAAAATGTAAAATAATCTATATGCTACAGCTCAAAGTTTAGGTACTGGTCAGGGATTTAAAAAATGTTCGTGTAAAATCCAGTGTGTCAACAAAATATGTTTTTGTCTTAGAAATAATGCTCTTTGTAATTCCAAATGTCATTTTAGTAATCCTTGCTGTAACAAATGATTTTATGGTACGTTTCCATAAATACCATTTATACGCTGCATAAATTGGATAAATTGCTTCTTNTAAACGAATGTCTATCAATATGAAATATTTTAAAATAACACCAATATACGATCTTTTCAAATCTGGAGTTTGTAGTTAGGTGGGATGATTGTAACTGTATCCAATATCTTCTATAAAGCTTTTTACTTTTCAGGCTTATTTCAATCAGTTCATAAGCCTTAAAGCAAATTAAAAATTATATACAAAGATTTACTCAATCAGCCTGAATTTACATTGTATAGAGGAATATAGTGAATCAGATTAATTGAACAAGGCTTATTTGATAATTAAATAGTCAACTAGGCTTATTACATATATTTCTAATTAGCATAAAAGCAATTGAGCTCATTGCAGTGAACCTAAAAATTGTTAGACTTATTTTATAACCTGCGTTGAACAGCCAACCCGATTCTGAGTTTGCGACTATCAATGGTTCAACTCCGGAGCCTTGTAATTTTAAACCCAACCAAGAAGACAAAAGAACTCCTGGATAAAACATTGGGACAAACTTTGTTTAGTGGTGTACTTTTTGTGGACTAGATACTTTTAATTTAGCCTGCCATTCTGCATAATTACAATGCCCGGTTTTCAAAGAATCGAATTTTTCTAAATAACCTACGGCTGTTCAAAAGAAACCCCTTTGATTATAGAAATTATAACATTATTTGATTGTTTTAATGTTCATTTTTAAAATAAAACTTTTTTGAAATTCGATTTCTCATGAACTATTCGACCGATTTCACTCAAATTTTGTATTTTGCTAAACTTATATTCTTTAAAATTATGTGAAAAATCGTATAACTTACAATTCAAAAACTTTTCGTGGAATATTAAGTAAAATGAACAAAAAATTATAAGTATTTACTAAAAGTTATTTTTTGCGTGGATTTATCTTTGGATAAATTAATTTTATAATGGTGAGCAAAAAATTTTTTAATTTGATTAAAAAGTTCTAGAGATATGGCGAAATGCGCAAAAAGTAAAATTAACATTAAGGGGTTCAAACCTTGGATCGCTCTTCTGACTAAGCTATTGGGGCCATATTTTACAGATTGCGTCTACCCCCTATGTTTTGGGGATCAGAAATCCGAAGTCGAAAAATAAGTATGTTTTTTCAGAGGAAATATGTTTTTGTATCTTAATTTGATTCCTAGAATGTGAAGATCCGATCATTAGATCAAAAGTTAATCAGGGTGTTGCGTTTTTTTTTTCTTTTTTGCGCACTACGTAGCATAATGGTTTAATGAAATCAATAAAATGAGCATTATTTCATAAATAAAACTGGAAAAAAAATACTAAATTCTAGCAAGCATTTATTACTAATTAAACAAGTACTTTAATTAACAAACAAGTCAATCTTAATTTTGCAGTGTTTCTATACAATTTGAAACATTTTAGTTTTAACAAAAACGCAATTAAAACGAAAACATTTGACCCATGATTTTTGTAAAGAAATCTTCAAGAAAAAAGGAATTCCTAAATTCCAATAATTGTAATAACTCACAAATATATAATTTCAGTATGAATGACGTATCGCTGAAGTGATGTATCGATGAGGTGCTATTAAATAATATACGTGGTTATCAAAGAGCTATTTCCTTATTAATGATTTTCTAGCCTTAAATTATCTAACTGTAACTGTATCTGACCCGTGGTGGCTCAGGGGATAGAGAGTTCGCCTCCAAAAAAGGCGAACAGGTTTCGAATTCCGGCAGTGGTTGGTTTATTCAAATTCCGCACCCGGCTCGCACTGACCACACTACTGACGTAGCATGGGTTAGAGTCCCCTAACCGTCAGTCAGGATAACCGTAGGAGGTTTCGTGGTTTTCCTCTCCATGCAACGCTAATGCGGTTTATTTCCATCAGAAAGTTTTCCACGAAAGCAAATTTCTCCTAATACTTTATCCAGGAGTTCCCTTGTATTCTGGATTGGATCAAAAATTACAAGGATACGGAACTGAACATTGATAGTCATAAACTGAAAATTCAGTCAACTGTTCAACGACAGATATAAAATAAAATGGTTGTTTCTAATCACGTGGTTGTGCATGGCGTCTTAACATTACAGCTTTAAAGCTTGAGTTAATTATCACTCTGAATCAATTTTCAGATCAAATTTAATTGGATACCTGCAAGTGATGTCACGCGTGTGTCGAACTTGATTATAGATTAGCGGAACCACGTGTGACGTTGCTTGCAAGCATGTAATTGATTATCTTAAATTCAACTTACGATTGTCAACCTGATAAACCCAATTACATTTTGTACTCGTGGCTCATTCAAGTATGAGAGCACTACTTTAAACTTGGAACATAAAGAGTTTTAAAAGCAATATAAATAAATCACACTTAAATACTCTAAGTTCATAATATTAAATGGGACATTTAAATTAGTTTGAATTAAAAAATTCTGCCAGGTAATTGCAATTATTTCTAAAAATTAAGAATATGTCGTCTCCAATCTACAGAAATCAAAACTCTGTTGTCGATTACGATGTCAAAATATATCAGGAACACATAAATTGGACTGCCCTTCCATCAACAGTATTGGAAACCGTCTATACATATTTGGATAAAGATGATCAAATAAATATGTCCTTAGTCTGCAAAAATTGGTCAAATGAATATGGATCTCCAAGTGTTTGGAACAAAATAAAATACAACATATTTAGTGCGTCAGAACAGGAAACATGGCCAGAAATTAAAATGGCTCGAAAGTTTGGGTACATGTTCAATTGCGTTGAAATTTCAGGAAACCTATTCATTCGGGAAAAAATTAATAAAGCTAAGGAACAACTGCAGTTATTTTTGGAAGCAATGACTGCATCCAATTGCAAACTTTATTCCCTTAAATTTGAAAACACGCATAAGCTTTCTCAGTTTTTAAGCAACAATGACTTCTCTACTTTGGTTAGCTGTACAGTAAACTTCCTTCAAACTCAGCATACTCTAAGAAATGTCGAATTCTACAATAGTTTCTACAGAAAGGAAGACGGAGTTAAAATACTTTCAGCACTTTGCGAACGAAATTCGTTAAATATAAAAACACTAGCTCTGAAAGGCTTCACTAGGGACCGCTACGAAACAGGAGTTAATATCCCCAGATCGCCAAATTTATTGTCGATGTACTGTTTCACGAACATAACAACTTTAAGAGTGAACTATTCTGAGTTCTTCGAAGAAACGATGCACTTTCTGCTGGAGCTAAATGAGTTTCAGTTCCTCTCCCTTAAGAAGCTTTCACTAATCGATATAGAATGCCAGGGTTCTAAGCAAGCTCCTATCAATGGTATCTCCCCGATGGTGTGGAAACGTTTGCGAAAATTGAGTCCAAAGTTACGGGTCAACATGAATCTGATTTATTCCTCTCAAATTCGGAAGACTTTTTCAGTTTATTTGGTTGACTTTATTCCGCTTCAATACCTGCAATTCAGACTGGAAAGGAGTCTTCAAGAATCTGAAAATCTGAATATAGGCCATCTGTTTCAGCAACTAAGCAACTGCCGAGCTCTTGATTTTTTAGAATCGTTAAGCATTTTCTGGATGTCTTCTATCGATGACATTTCAGTGTACCTCATCCCGTTTCTTCGAATTTCCAAAAAGTTGGAATTACTTCAAATGTCTTTTGGACAATCTGTAGACGGTTTCGACTCTGTTTTTGAGTTTTTGCTTGTACATCCGCCAGAATCTTTAAAATCAATTTATATATCGGTCACCACAGTGGATAATGAAGATGATTACATTGATCTGATGATGATGGCCGAGGAATATATTCCGCTGTTTCAAATCATAGGAATTAATCTTAGATTACCGGAACCTCTTTACAGAAGGAGAAGCACACGATTAATGAATCGATAATTCAAGAAATAAAAATCGCAATTAAATCCTATTGTCTTTAATCTTTATTTTTAACCGTTAAATTATAGTTATCAGTGCGTAGATTATACGTAGTTATCGATGCAATTATATTATAGTATTCAAGTACGTAGTTTTCATCGAAAATTTAAAAATTAGAGTTTCGAAAATTTTCGACAAAATAACTAACTTGAAAGTGTGACATTTTAATAATTTTTATATACTGGAACCAGGGTACAATTTTGTTTTTCAAAATCAGTAGCAAAGTTTGCTAATGCTAAAATGTGATACCTAGTGACGTAGTGTGTTTATCTCGATCTTGATTGGCTGTTGAAACGTGGCATTTTTTTACGTTAGCAACCGTTATAGTATCAATTCTCCTAAGGAACGCATTCTATATTCTTTCACAAAAATTTTAATTATTTCACTATATATTTCTATTTTAACATCAAGACAGGTAGGAAACCATGTAAAACATAAACAAACTAATTATGTATCGAAGTTGCCAGGTACACATAACAAAAATAAGTCACAGTTACTATAAAATACACAAGCAAATAATAATTTTAATTTAAATAAAAG